CACAAAATCGTGAACTTTGTTAAACTAGAGGAAGTCGCAAAACCCCTGGTCTCACCACGGGCAAGAGTTAGAGAGAACTATGACGTTAGGCGGCCCTTCCTGCTCACTAGTCCCTGTAATGACTCATGAACTGCGATGTACGAGCGGACAAGTACAGGTTGTGCAGAAGACATTTCACTGCAGAAATGTTCCAATGTGATCTGTATGCAGAGTTAACAAGTAAGTGGTATTTGCTGGCAAAACCGTCTCGAAGTCGAGAGCAATAATTATTTTGGATTAAAGGAGATGTACTCACTAGCCTGCTTGTTTACAATATCATAGGGCCACAACCCAGCACTGGAAGTATTTGTTGCCTCGTTCTGAATCGCTACGCATAGCTGCAAATGTAGTCTATTCTGTGATGTAAGTTGGAGGTTTGACAACTTTCACTGTACATTAGACTTTTATTGTGGTTTGAAATGCTCTCAAATCATCAAAGCTGATTTTACCTAACGCCAAAATGTAAAAACAGCGTTGCAGCTCCCCTTTAAAAGTAATTCAGCGCTGGAGGCAAACTGGTTTTGCTTCAGAGTTTAGCTCCGTGCCTCTTCCAGGACGAGCCGTAGCACCCTCTCGTCTCCCGTCACGGGAGCAGGCTTCTCTGACGTGACGCCCGTGTTTTATCCCGTGGCCAGACGTGGACGAGTGCGCCAGGCCGGGGCTGTGCCAGGACGGCCGCTGCACCAACACGGAGGGCTCGTTTGAGTGCCAGTGCCTCACCGGCTTCACCACGAACCCGGAGCGGACCGCCTGCCTCGGTAAAGGACACTCCAGCAAGAGACCGGGGAAGGCCAAGAGTTATTGATTTGCGGAAAGGTCACATCGTCTGTAGATATGAGCTGCGTTACTTCATCTGCCTCAAAGTATTGGAATTCTAAAAATTCTCATACCAGAGAATGAAACAATGAACATCTTTGTCTTTTCCTTCATCTTCTTTCTATGACCGTCATTGATACTGCAGGTACAGTCTTGGTGTTACTTGATGTGTTCGTGCAGGCGGGGTGAAGAGCACACAGGGATGATCACAACCGTCTTTCCGTCGAGCGCGGGGTTTCTCTTGTCCCGATGGCTTCACTGCTCGTTGCGGCCGCGGCTGGCTGACCGCTCGTCTTTCTCTTTGCGCCCAGACGTGGACGAGTGCGCCGAATCGAGGGGCGCGGTGTGCAGAAACCAGCGCTGTGAGAACACCATCGGCTCCTTCCACTGCATCACCATCTGCGAGCCGGGGTACAGGGTCACGGCCAGCGGGGACTGCGTGGGTGAGTGCGCCCAGCCGCGGGCCCAGCCATGTGGAAACACAGCAGCCATGTTGTTACGGTACCACCATCCCGCCACCAGGGGGCTCCAAACACACAGGCACCTACTTCAGCTACTCAGAGAAGACTTAGACCTCGTTAACCAATCCCAGCACTTCTTCATCACCACACCTCCCCTCCCCAGCCTACTTGAGCTCTGCTCTCTGGCTCATCCCTGCTCAGTATTAGGTTTTCACCTGCAAACTCCACTTCCTGTTTTCCCATGAGACAGCCCTTTTGGCCTAACAACTTTAGCCCTGTTTTGTGACCACGAGATTTTGGATTCTCCTTCAGTAACCTGTGCTCTAGGACCTTCTGGTTTTTTACTGCTTTTGGTCTTTGACTTTGGATTTCCCTGTTTGATCCTGTTGGCAGTCTTTGAGTTCCCTGGATCCGCACAGAGTCCGTCCCTAACAGTAACGTAACACATGTGACCTGTGTGATCCTACTTCTGGAACCTTGTTGATCCAGGATTGCACGCATCCCTGCTTACAAGGACCAATAAAACCTGATCTGCTCGGGGTGGGGCGAAGAAGCATCACAAAGTGCTTCTTAAATATATAGTAGGAGCCACTTCATCCATCACTGAAGTGCAGCAATCCTTCAGCATCTGCAGCCCCACAACACAGCAGATCAGGGGGACAGGTGAGAAATCAAGGGCAAAACACGTGGGGCCCAGACCAAGTAAGACATCATGTAATCATGTAATCATGACCAAATACCCAGGATCTGAATTGAATGGCTCATCCGAAGGACAGCACCCATTACAGAATAGTAACTCCAATCACCACACTAGGGCCAGGACAGTGGTTTGTACCACCTGCTGCTCAGTAGTTCCCCAGTACTGAGGCCCGGCCTTGCTTGGCCTCTCAGATCTGATGTGATCAGGCTGCAAGGAGCCAAGACTCCTCTCAAGTTGGATAATAGTATGAAACATTGCTGGGAGCAATGAAGAAATTGTTGATGCTCAGAACACACAAATCATGCAACTCTTGAGTGTGTCTAAAGTGTCTTAGGACTTTTGCACTGCAGTTTAGATTTTTACATCCCAGGGAATATCAGGGTGAGAAAGAAGAGACATAAAGGAGGCTCATTCTTGTGAAAAGCCTTTGTCAGCAGAGTAGAAAGAAAGAGCAGCAGTGAATGCACCTTCAGGTTAAAGAGCCGTTCCTCTAGTCTTCTTCGCCTGCTGCACGCCTGTGGACCGCGCTGGAGAAGAGGGGGGGGCGCCGCGCCCGTTATCGGCTGTCCCGCGGAGAGCCAACAGCCACAGGGGGCTCACAAGCAGAGCTGGAATGCGGAGAGGCCTCTATCACAGCTGTGCTTGGACACGTGTCAGAGTGGCGGGGTTTTTCCACTCCAAGAGGGAGGAGGATTTTTTGTTGTTGTCAAAAACAGTACCCCCCCCTTCCCCCTCCCCCCCAGCACCCAGCCAAGAAACGCATCTGCGTCCCATCGGGTTCTTCTTCATCTCCGTGGCAACGGAACACATGGCGGATAGTCTGAGCTCGTGTGCTAGGAACCCTCCACCACACTCTCAGGTTGCGCGGGACACGGTTAGAGAGACGCGCAGCGCAGAAATAATGGAATTGCTGTCTGCCTTTCCCTCGGTGCCTCTGCTCCTTCTGGAACAAATATCAAGCTGGTACCTTTGCAATTTATGTTCCACAGGAGCTCGTTCAGAAAGGGCAGTATCTTTCCTTGAATTTAATACTCATTTTGGAGTTTTCACCTGCCACTCCTTCCTTCACCACTCGAAAGTGGCCAGTGAACAGAACAGTGCTTTCTTTCCCATGTGACATATGTGATATGTAAATAAAGAGACCAAAGTGAAGGGTGGTAGCGTCCAGCCTCCTCTGTCATGCGTCTGTCTTGCAGACATCAACGAGTGTGCCAACAACACCATCTGCGGAGAGCACGCCTTCTGTCAGAACCTGATGGGCTCGTACCAGTGCATGTGTGACCCGGGTTACGAGACGGCAGAAGATGGGAGGAGATGCATGGGTACTTGTCCCAGGGGTGCCAGCCTGAGGGGTTTAGCCCACAATGTTCTCTACCCAAAAGAAAATGGGGGGCACAAGAGGGCATGTGAGATTTCCTCACGTCTCATTTGAACTTCAGCAGCTTGAGGCAGTGGGGTTACTGGGTCCTGGAAACAGTGGTCTGATGCAGCCATTTCCTGCAGGCTGTGGTGATGCGTGAGGCTGTTGCCTCAGGACTCCACTGTTCTGGTCCTGGTCTCCTACCTGCCCTCCAACACGCTGGGTTTGACTGGACACTACACACTCTCCCTTCCCTGTATTTATCCCTCTGAGGAAGGAAGCTCTTCCTTGGAACTCTTCACCTGCCAGTGAGCTCAGTGGCCTTGGCCCCTTTTGCCCCCACAGCTGGTTCTGATTATGGGCCCACACAGAAGAAACCTGAAATGGGTCATTTCAATCACTGCTACACATGTGCTATATACTTCTTAAACAGACACGCAATCCTTGATTCTGGCTCCCAGGTGGAAGCATCTGTGACCTTCAGAGACACTGTTTTCACATCATTTCAGACAGTAAGCAGGCTCTGTTATATATGTTTTCTCAAATGAACCACTGGTACTCCTTCAGTAGGGGGCTGCTTTGTGCCACTTAACATGACCTTTAACTGTGAGGTACACAGCGGACACACGGCACCTATTTCAGTGTGAATTGTTCCCCTGATGGCAGTGATCTGCACCCTCTGCTTGGCAGTGAAAACAGACTGCTCCTGCTTTCACATGTGGAAGAATTGTCTGTCCCCTATAAAGGGTCCTACCTGCGAATAGTTTTATGGGGAGCTCTGCTTCACCCTTAACACTTACTAAAAAAACATTCCTTTCGTTATCCCAGTTAACCTTAGGTCTGAGCTGTAGACAGTCCGTTGTGCACCTGTGTGTTTCGGGGCCGGTCTTGGATCCTGTGTAGCCCGGGCCCCCGGTGACCCCGTCTTCTCTTCCCAGACGTGAACGAGTGTGAGAGCATGCCGGGCGTCTGTGGGGCCGCCCGCTGCGAGAACGTGGAGGGCACTTTCCTGTGCAACTGCCGCAACGAGCAGGACGAGTACGACCCGCAGACCAGACAGTGTGTGAGCAGGCCCGCAGCAGGTACCCGCGCCGCTACAAGCACGGCCGCCAGAAGACGAGAGGGATCCGGGGTGACATTAAGCAGTCCACCCCCCAAAAAAATAGAAAACCCAAGACGCCATCTGGCCATTGCCCGAGTACCTGGAAAAGTTTGCAGCGGAGGTTTGCAGCTGTTTCTTGAGCTGCCAGACCGAGACAGGCTTGCTGCTTTTTTTAAACAATTGAAAATTATGTTCGAGAGAGGTTTTTTTTTTTCCTGTGCCCACCCATTTTTTTATGCTGGTGTATGGCGTATGGCTCTGTATTTTCTGCATCCTTTATCTTAGATGCTCCAGAGTTAACAGCGTAACTTTCTGCGCAGTTCCTTTAATATTTTTGGCTTCGGGTCAGTTAAAAGGGCCAACACTGCCCCCTAAAGTTCAGTAAAAGAATGAGAAACCTGGTATTTTGTTGCCTGTTCTAGATTTCAGAGTCACACATCATTACTATGTTTACCATATAAAAAGCCCGTGTAGATTCTTATGGCGGCTATATTCTTCCTCATTTATCAGTGAGACTGATTCGGCTATAAACCCAAAATGCGTTTCTGTTTTCTGGGGGAGTTAGTGGGTTGATTTTTGCAGACTCTGACTACTTTTTCAATTCCAGAAAAGGGGGAATTATGGTTCTTTTTTTTTTCCACAATGAGGACAGCCGGGACTTAAACAGAGAATGTCCCAGTGAAGTCGAGTGGGATGGCTTCCCCTTATTACGAGTCGGATACTTTAGGCTGCTGCCGTGTTTTAAAATCTGCTGGCCGGCTGGTCTTTTGCAGCCCTTCTCCGCTGTTGCTCTGCTTCAGCCCTGTCTTGGTTCTGTTCCCCTCAGAGCCCCGAGTGATACCCATCAATGCCGGGGGGGCGTTAGTACCGGACTCCAGGCCGCAGCGCAGCGACGCGCAGGAGTGCTACTACAACACCGGAGACACGCGAATGTGCAGCACGCTGTCACGCAACACCACGCGCCAGGAGTGCTGCTGCACCATCGGGGAGGGCTGGGGGCTGGGGTGCAGCTTTACACCCTGCCCGGCGCCTGGCACAGGTACCCGCGGGTGGGGCAGAGCCTGCTGGCCTATCCATCTCCACGACGCACAGTTTTTTTTTTAAAGTTTTTATTTAAATAAAAAATAAATACAAAAAAGGAGAAACAGACGCACTTCACAGCCAGAGGAATTCACAATTATAAAAGCAGAAATTTAAGCTTTTGACATATTTCCATTGTATGTCTTGCCTTTTGATTCTTTAAATTTCTAATAGAATTTAAATAAAAAGGGAATTCTACATTCAAAGCATCAATAGAGAGAGCAGTATTAGACCATTTACGTTTGTGGATGAAGTATTTCGCCAAAATTATTAATAGATTAATAATAAAAACATATCTTTTATCCAAAAGTTCCACAGCACACATGGGGCAGGAGTGTGTCTGACATCAGCGTCCCATGTGGAGTGCAGAAACTCCCCGTATTCACACAGCTGACTTTAAACCACTTGGATCCATTGTCTTCTCTTACTGGGCCATGAAGGCCTGGAGTTGCACGTCTTAAATCAAAACTGTAGCAAACATGGAAGCTTAGGCTATGTGGTCCAATGTACGTATTGAGTGTAAAAAACACCCAGGAGCAATTGGTGCTGCTTTGATGTTTCATCTCTGACGGAAGGCGGAATTCTCTTCTTGTTTACCAGAGGAATTCCAGGCTCTGTGTCCACGTGGGCAGGGATATGTGACAACAGGGCTGGGGTCCTTCAGTTACCAAGGTAAGGAAGGACTCTGTAAGGACAGATACATTACAAAGGCTGGATTGCGCCACTAATCATTTAATACCTCTGCAGAATGATGGGATACGGTGTCAGTTCATCCAGATTACTTTATAGGTGATCACAACAAATTACAAAAAAACAGTAAGTAAATTCTGTAGATCTAAATGTTGCATAATTTATTGTTTTAGGTAACTTGCATTTTTCACAGAGCTTATTTGCAGTTCTATAGATATGCAGTAAATCTCGTCTTGAAATTTCTAAAAACACTGTGAAGGTTTACAGGGCGATGTCACTAATTTTTTATGTAACTGATTTTTGCGTCACCTACACCTTTCCTAGCGCCACAAAAAAAGTCAAACAGCAGATTTTCCAAAAAACGTATTTATAGTCTGTTTATTCCAGTTCATTCTCGACAGCGATCAAAAAGTTTACAATGAAAATCAGTTGCAAACGTCCCAGGTTTGAGGTCCCTGGAGGCAGCATGTGTTTCTGTCCTGATGCTCATAGATCTCCATGTTCTCCTCCGCAGATGTGGATGAGTGCAAGATCTTTCATCCGGAGATCTGCAAAAATGGTGTGTGCTCTAACAACATCCCTGGGTTCAACTGCTACTGCTTCTCCGGCTACTACTATGATTCAACCTTACTGGAGTGCATTGGTAAGCGAGCTGGGAGTTGCTACCCAGCAGTTCTGTTTTCGGGAGGTAGCCAGGCCAGGACGACGAGCTCAGAACCCCCTTTGCCTTGTGGGTCATGCCAAGAAGCTGCTGCAAGGACACCTACAGCAGTGTGAGAGGGAAGCGAAGCAGTGACTGCTGGGAAAGAAGCACGATTGGCCATTAATTAATATTTTATTTTAATAATTGGGCGATTAATAATTAACTTAAAAGTTAACAGACTAACAGATAATAGCTCTGATATAGTGTTACATCAGTAATGTGGCTGTCTTGCTTGGAGGTTGTCTTAACAATCTCTCCCACACTTTTGTTTCTGAACTGCATTAAATTAATTTGACGAAGACCCCTATTATAACTTCCTTTGTGTCTCCTATTCTCTGTCCTCAATGTGTCTACACTTAATTTCCACTTGCCACTTGTCTCCTGTAACTTAATTTAGCCAGCGGCTCTATCACGGTGCAGCTCACAGCTCACAGCTGGCAGCCCACTGCAGCTCAGCAGGTGTGAGCCTGGCCAGTACCTGGAGGGGAGACTCCTGGGAAAGCTGAGGCTGCTGCTGGAAGAGGTGTTAGTAGGGCCAGCAGGGAGCGCTCACCCTGTGGTCTGTGTGCGTCCTAATGCCCCAGTATAGTGATGGGGACACTATACTGTAAAAAAAAAATGCCATCCTTTGGATGAGCCATTAAATCAAGGTCCTGACTCTCTGACTCCCCATTGTCTCTGTGGTAATTAAATATTCCCAGGGCAGTTCTTGAAAAAAGTAGGGGTTTTACCCCAGTGTCCTTGGCCAAATTTCCCTTTGGCCTCCTAATAATCCCCCTCTCTGAACTGGCTTCATCACTCTGCTCTCCTCCCCACTTGTAGCTGGTGTGTGGGGAGAGTACTGGTGCACTGTGGCAGGGGAGTCCCCATTATCTGTAAAGCACTTTGAGTGGGGTGTTCAGGAAAGCGCTATATAAGGGTAAGGATTAATTGGTAGTAGTATTTCCCTTGTATCACTGTTGATCATCCTAGGATTGGGATAGTCAGGGCCTTTAATCCCACAAGTGGTTAAAAAAGCAGAGTGGGAGTGTGCCGTCGCTATCACAAGATGTGAGAATGGGGTTGTTCGCAGCAGAGACAGGTGAGACAGTCGCTGAGACATGGGTAGGCAGGAGTCCTGGGCTGTTCGGAGCTGGAGCAATGAAGCTGGAGAAATGACAGCGTCACGTCCCTCTGTCTCACCCTCTCAGATAACAACGAGTGTGACAACGAGGAGGCCTGCAAAGACGGGCAGTGCATCAACACCGAGGGCTCGTACTACTGCACCTGCCAGGCCCCGCTGGTCCTGGACGACACTCAGATGAGCTGCATCAACACCACCAGCGAAGACCTCGGTACAACACACAGAGGGGGTGAAAGGACAGGCCCCCAGGAGAGTGGTGGCAGGCTGACACGCCCACCATTCACTAGGACAGTGTGGGCAGCCCTCACACCTAGACTGTAGCATGTCACCTCGAGGATTTTCAACTTCTAGTTTCGCTCTGCATGCACAAAAACCCTTACAAAACTTGAAACCTTTAAAGTGAAGCCGATTAGTTGAATAGCTTATTTTTTATTACCTGTCAATTCAAGGCGGCCTTGAGTCGCTTGATTTTGCGCCACAGTGGCAGAGATTGGTCAACCTTATTACTTTCAGAAGGTGAAGCACGGGTTTTGGAGATTGCTTCGTTTGTTGCACTCGTTTGGGGTCGTTACCCAGGTTAGCACAAGCCAGTTTACTTTTTGAAGTAATGTTGAGATTGAAAGGGTTTTGTGGCAAAGGTCATTGAGAAGCAGGCTCGTGAAGGAGACAGTGAGCTGTGACATGAGGGAATCAAGGTATCCAGTGAGGAAGAATGAACTCTCTCCCAGCCTCTCTGTACATGGAGTGTTCCCGACTTCTGAATGGTACTGCATCCACAAGGAAGCACTGAAATGTTTTATAGCTGTGAGCAGATTATACAATAACCTGCACCCAAGCTCGATTACCCTAGCAGTGTCCGTCTTTCTTTCTCCAGATGAGAACCTTGCGTACTGCTGGCAGGAGCTGACCCTAGACCTGGTCTGCCAGCGGCCTCTCCCGGAGAGACAGGTGACCTTCACGGAGTGCTGCTGTCTGTATGGGGAGGCCTGGGGCCTGAAGTGTGCTCTCTGTCCCGGCCGGGACACGGGTGAGTCCTGCGGTCACTGACGACGAGCAGCGCTGTCGAACCTTTTCTGGCTGTCAGAAATGGAAGGCCTAGGTGGGCAAGGTGAAAAGGGAAAATCTATAAGGAGAAGATAAGATAAGATCACTTTATTTATGTCTTTTCGCAGACCCCAGCTTGCTCTCCATGAGACACACAGACAGGGAGAGAAGCTGGGGGTCAGAGCGCAGGGTCGGCCATTTATACGGCGCCCCTGGAGCAGTTGGGGTGAAGGGCCTCGCTCAGGGGTCTGGTCAATTTAGCTGGATTTGAAATTCACGCCAAAAATGAATCTGATTTTTCACCTTTAACGTTCAGTGACTTGTGCTGTGTTGTGAAATACTGTAGCTGTACCGTTTAGGCCAGAAGCTATATCACCCTGCAACTCACAGCTGGAAGCCCACTGAAGCTCAGCAGGTGTGAGCCTGGCCACCTGGATGGGAGACCTCCTGGGAAAGCTAAGGCAGCTGCTGGAAAAGGTTTTCATGTGACCAGTAGGGGGTGCTCACCCTGCGGTCTGTGTGGCCATAATGACCCAATATGGTTGTGCTGACACTATACTGTGAAAAAAAATGCTGTCCTTTGGATGATACATACTATAAAACCAAGATCCTGACTCTCAGTGGTCATCAAAAATCCCAGGTTGTTTCTCAAAAAGAGTAGGGGTGTTACCCTCTGTGTGCAGACCAAATTTCCCCCTGGCCTTTACCCATCATGACCTCCTAATAATCCCCCTCTCTGAATTAGCTTCATCACTCTGCTCTCCTCCCACTGAGAGCTGGTGTGTGGTGAGAGTACTGGTGCACTCTGGCTGCCGTTGCATCATGCAGGTGGGGGCTGTACACTGGTGGTGGCAGTGGGATTCCCCTTTACCTTTGTGGCGCTTTGAGTGGAGTGTCCAGAAAAGCGCGATATAAGTGTAAGGAATTATTATTGTACAAATTCTTGTTTCTCCAGAGGCCTATGAGACGATGTGCAACACTCTGAGACCCCCAGCCTATGGCCCTTCTTTCGGGGGGCGGTACAGGCCCATGCTCGGTGGGGATTATGGGGCGCCTTATGGGCCGAATATCTTTGCTGAGCCCCCTCCCAGGCCTGGGGGCCCTGACTTCCTGATTCCCGGGTATGAGGACTACTCTCCTTTGGCAGACAGAGGAACAAGCTCCAGGAGAAGACCTCCATATGGACTTCGAGAGGGCCCCTACGGCCGCCGAGGGTAGAGTCACTGTATTCATAACCCGCGTGAGCGCTAACGTGCCTGCCATTTCACAGAACCGGCAAAGGCAAAGAATCAAACCACTCGCAGAGCCGAGGTTCTTTGCTGTTCTGCAGATGGTTTACCTGCATACACGAGTTTAGCAAAATTATGATCCCATAGTTTGGAAGACCCTTAAATCTCCAGAACAGCAAAGAATATTTAAAGAAATAATAATGAACTCACACGTTGGAGGAGAAACACGTTTTTGAGACGTAGCTGCTGTGTCTTTGCAGCCCGAATCGCCGCTATGAAATAGGGGAGTACGAGCCGCAGTATGTGCCCCCAGAACCGGACCCCGAATCTCGATATGGGATCCCCAACCCCCTGTCAGAGCCTGCGTATGAGCTGCTCCCCCGGCAGGGAGTGGGCTCTCTCCCTGCCGCTCCCCCCTTTGACCAGGGCGAACCCAGACCCCCAGAGCCTTGGCTTCGCTACAGGCCCCGGGAGGGGCCCCCATTTCCAGAACGGGGTGCTGCAGGAGGGACCCGCCGAGAGCTCTATGACAGTAAGGGCATTCTGCGCTTGGACTGATTTTCACCACCGTGGTCCACTTTATTATTTCCATGTTTCTCCATGGGGGCGGCAACATCTATGAAATTGTACAGCTGCTGTACCTGTTCTGCTGAGCGATTTCTGAGACTGTGGTTAAGTGTTTGCCCAGGAGAGGGCGCACTCTTCTTTTATGTTCCTGGGAATTGCCTGCTGACGCTCAGGGACGTTTCGGTTCCGTCTCTCAGGCCGGTATGAGCCCCACGAAGGCTTCCAGGCAGAGGAGTGCGGGATCCTGCACGGCTGTGACAACGGCAGGTGTATCCGCGTGTCCGAAGGCTACACCTGCGACTGCTATGATGGCTACCAGCTGGACATGACAAACATGGCCTGCATAGGTATGTCAGCCGTTCCTTCCTCTCCTCTAAATCCCTGCTGCCCTCCTGCAGAAAAACCAGCAAAAAACTCCCAGTTCAAAAATAATGAAGTTAAAATGAAAAACACCATAGTGTGGGCAATAAACATACACAAGAGTGATAACCGAATTTTATTCCATCTATTAATTATACTAGGCAAAATGGCATAGTTTCATTATCCATCAAAAGCCTACAGGAAAATGTCCTGGGTAACACACAGTTAAGATGGGCCAGAGGCCAGGAAATTCAGGGTGGGAACCTGAGACCACAGATCAGGATGGGGGAAATGTTGGACAGCCACACAAATACACTCATATAACATGCACACAAACCCCTGTCCCCCCCCCCGAGTCCCAGGAGTTAGCAATGTCCCTGATAATCCCAACTATCCTAGACAAGTTCCCATCTATCCCAGCATGCTCTCCTGGGACTGCCATCACCAGCTCCATTGCTTGTCTCCTGGGTGCTCCATCACTGCCTGATGGGAGCAGTGCAATATCATGAGCAGCCGAGGGGATTGGCCGAGTGGCTGCTACAGCTGTAGCCCTGACACTGCGGGCTCAGGCCGGGCCTGGTCTCAGGCCAGCTGCGAGCAGGACACAGCAATCTGTCTGAGGAACAGGCCTCCTCATGGTGATCCAAGACATGAGAAACGACTGGCAATTCCCAAATGGGGTGGACAGAGACTGCAAAAAAAAAAACTCGCACCTCATGGGTGAAATGCAGTGATGCGAAAAAGAAAGTACATCCCCTTATGGTTCTGTGGTTTTACATATTAAGACACATCTGACCTGCATCTAGACCTCACCCAGTCCGAACAGTAGGTAAACCTAAGCCCATGTGAAGGGTAACAGACACAAAATTTACTTCTGTCATTATTTATTTAAAAACCTCAGCCAGCATTCGTTCGCCTTGTGTGAAAAAGTTAGGGCTTGACTTAACTTGAAGTAAAGGTTTCCTGTAAGAGTTTATCCGTCTCGCACGTCGCCTGGGAGGAGTTCTGGCCCACTCCTCCTAACCAAACTGCTTCAGCTCGGTGGTGTTTGAGGGCAAAGCTCTCTTTAGGTCCCACCACAGCATCTCTATGGGGATGAGGTCTGGACTTTGACTTGGCCATTCCAAAACTCAGAGTGTTCTCCTTTTCAGCCGTGCATAAATAGATGTACTGGCGTGTTTTGGATCACTGTCCTCTTCCATGATCCGATTTTGGCTAGCTTTAGCTGTTGGACAGATGGTCTCACATTTTCCTCTAGAATGTGCTGGTGTATGGCTGTAATATAGCATAACACCCACCTTACAGTCTAAAGAAAAATACTGTTAAACTACAGAATTTCAGTTTAATTGGGAAAACCTGACTCTAAACCCTGTGGAACAGAACAAACGGCAAATCCTTTCATAACATTCCTCCGTGGCCTGATTTTGTTCGTTACCATGTGGTAACACTGAATAGCAGAAAAATTGTGAATAAATGTAACTGCAAGTTTGCGTTTAATGGCACCTCGTTCCTCTGACATCATATGACAAGTGGCATCTGTCGTGCTTAGAGTTGATCCGCAAGATTTTAATATGAGATCCTAACATTTTGTCGTTATATTTACCAGATATTCATCTGGTGACCAGTCAATATTTACTTTATTTTAGAGTATGTGAAAAATATAACAGGTATCCTCTTCAGCCTGTGTTAAGAAGTGGAAAGGGCTCAACCAAAAAATAAGACAAGATCACTTTATTGGCCCTATACAATTTCTTGTATGAGGAATTTGTCTTTTCGCAGACCCCAGCTTGCTCTCCATGAGACACGCAGACAGGGAGAGAAGCTGGGGGTCAGAGCGCAGGGTCAGCCATTTATACGGCGCCCCTGGGGCAGTGGGGGTTAAGGGCCTTGCTCAGGGGCCCAATGGAGTAGGATTCCTCTGCCGGCCGCGGGATACGAACCGGCAACCTTCCAGCCACAGAGCCACCGCCCCACCCCGCGTGCGGACCGCCGGCGTGTGCGACCAGAGGGTGACGAGGGCCTGCTTGTTTTGCAGACGTGAACGAGTGCGAGGAGGAGGGGGACCCCGGCACTCTGTGTGTGAACGGCCAGTGTGTGAACACGGACGGCTCTTACGAGTGCGTGTGCCTCCGGGGGTTCGTCGTGTCCAGACAGCCCCACTACTGCGTCCCCGCTCCGCCCCTGCAGTGAGACGGGCGGCGGCGCCGGAGAGCCCTCTCGCTCCCCGCCCCTGCAGTGAGCCGGGCTGCGGCGCCGGAGAGCCCTCTCGCTGCCCGCCCCTGCAGTGAGCCGGGCTGCGGCGCTGCCGCCAGCGCTGCGCTTCTGCCGATTTCCCCCTTCTGTTGTTTTTTTTCCCCCTTTCCTTTTCAGATGTTCGAGGGCTTTTTAAAAAAAAATCTGTAAACGCAAATAACCGCAACGTCATGAAGCGATCTTTTTTTTACTGTCTGCAAAAGTCCGGTGGACGTGAAAAGCGCAGCCTTGCTTTAAAAACGAGGCTTCAGGCTGCACAGTGCCCCTGAGAATGTGTGAACAGTGAAGCGGATCGGTTGCCAAGGCTGTGACCACGTGGCCAGCCTGGCCTGGACACCCAGCATGCTCTGACCAAACTATGGCTGCCAGTTTGCCTTGACTTCACCTCACAGATGAGCTTCTCTGGACCATCTCTCTGCCCGTGAGCACCCGTGACTGTTAAGGGAGGACTTAGCACTACGTCATAAAGATTTAAGCAATAACACTTACCAGCCATTTCCTCGTTAGCACTGATATCTCGTGTGCTTGTTAGGTTCTTTACCCAAAGGGTGGTGGGAGTGTGGAACTAGCTACCCAGCCATGTTGCTGAAGCTGCTGCCCTGGCTTCTCTCAAGGAGCAACTGAAATTCTTGGATCAGGTAGCTGGGCCAAAGGGTCTCCTCTTGTTTGTAACCGTTCTCACGCTCTTTAGGAGCTTTTAAATGTTCAGGAACGTCCAGGGTTCAGGGTGGCAGCGGGCTGGGGAGGCCGCGTCCACGCTGGTCCTGCCCTCCCGGCGCTGAGCGCAGCACGATAAACCCCCCGCCCCCCCTCGCTAGCTTTCTTCCTTTCCAGAGGTAATAGACGTGTGGGATCGGCTGTTGAGGAAAGAATCATCCTGTCAGTTCGATTATTTCAAGTGGATTCTCAATACTGCAACATCACTCCAGGATGAGGCCTGGGAAGTCAAGTACTGTCTCTCCAGGCTGTCAGATGCGACACAACAAAGCATATAACTCCTAGTAAGGATGCTGATAGTGAAAGGTTTGTGATAACAGTGATCAATAGCCCTTTAACCAAATCCTTTAGCTAACCTATGCCCAGCTGCTGAAGAGCTGAATTATTCTCACGGGAAGGCATTATTTGTCAAACTGCTGCTTGTTAAGTTCTCAGCTTGGTGACTGAGAGCCGCGCGGACTCGGGACACCAGCAGAGAAAGGGATCCTGCAGAGTAAGAGCTGAAAACACGGGCGAATAGCACTGATGCTCTCCCTGCACCTGGAGGGCCACTGTGCCTTCTGGTTGCCATTTGATCTGAGCTGTTTAGTTCGACTTAAATCGGATCACTTATTGACTTAATTGGTCACCACTGTTTTCAGGTCTTTGACCACTACGGATTGAGTGGGAATGCCAGCAGGCTAGTGATTCTTCAGAGCCCTACGTGTCCCTGCTGTGTGGGAGGAGTTGACCCTATGACTGAGCGTTCACCAGGACCCTTTGAGACAGCGGGGGGTTGTAAAACGAACCTCCAATTTCAAAAAATGTGAAAATTACACATTATACCTCAGATGAGCTTAATTGTGGTGTTCAGTGACTGTGTGGGATGAACCTGTAATTCAGATCTGTTGCACTTCGTGCCCATCATTGATCTGACCATCTGAACAGCTGATGACTTTCACCGGTTCATTCAGGATAGTCATTCCAAATGCAGTTTTATGAACCATTAACAGAATCTGAACACTGTGGTATTAGATGAGAACTTCAACAAAGTAATCAAAGTGAATATTTAAAAATATGCTTTATGGATTTTGTTGTTATTCCCCTGCTGGGTAATTAATTAAGCCAATGTAATTCCGGATAAATCTTTTGTTTTGGGACAATTATAAATTCCCCTGTCTCTGTCCTGATGCAGGTGAAGTCATGTGGTCATACCGTGGACTTTAGGATGGAGATCCAGCTGTCTTACCTTGTACTCTGAATAAGAACAGTGCTTTAATACTGAAGAGGTCAACTACAGTAGGATATTGAAAAGGGTTGTTTTATCGAAACTGAAGTCACACCACACAGCAGTAAAGCAGTTGTTTTTGTGATTGAGTGTGATTAGTGATGTTAATCAGGGAAATTAGAGTTTATAGTTTTTTGTTCCTAAATCCACCTAAATCTACATAACAAGCAAAAATGTTGAAAATTAGTGCAAAGGCAGTGGTTTTTGTTACAACTCTTAGGAGGGGGCCTGATCATTTTTTAAAGCAATGTTTTCTCATAATGAGATGCTTAGCTACTGCACCCCACTTTCTGCCAAGAGAGCTGTTAATTGTTATAGTCAACATACTTTAGTTAAAAAAAAACATTTAAAACCCAAATAATCACAAATGGAAATTCCTAAAAAAAGTAAGAAGGTATGGCCATTTCAGTAGGAAAAGCTAGATCACTATAGATTTATGTGTTTTATATCCTATTGTATATTAATTTATACTCTGTGCAAAGTTAAGCTCTTTTTTACTTTAAAAAAGCTATTATAATATTACTGTAACTGTTAAAGAGCACATGCGACCGTGATTTTAAAATGCTGTTCTGTAAGAAAAACCCGCCAAGATTTCCGAGAACTACTCCACTATATTCACTTCTCGTCCATAAAAAGCCTGTTGATTTTTAATCGTCTTAGAACGAACGTGCTTGCAAAGAAATATCGCTGTAACTAATAAAACAAGTCTAACGGGTCTTTCATTTTGGCGGAATAAACTTGGAAAAGTGAAATACGTCTAAATATATAAAGTATGTAACGGAAAGAATTGGGTTTGAAGTGCTTTCTAATGCTCACTTTGTATTATTTAAATCTCTTTTAGTATAAAAATATTGGTGATAATCGTTTATCAGTTCTCAACCTGCATTAAGAGATGGAAATGGGTTTTAAAATTACTATTCACCTTTTCAGTTTATGACGAATGTCTCGTCTTCAACTGTATGTTTATGTCATTGGTCAGTTTTTTTTCACGTAGATTAACAGATGAAAACCTAAAAATGATTCTCAGCACATAAACTTGTATAACACTGTGCACTGTACTTGCGGAGGACTGAACTATTGTATTAAGCTGCAGTCCGCGGTCTTTGGGAAAAAAATCAAATGCTGTTTTTTGTCATTTGGTTTTGATCTTGACTGAAGTTTAGTGTTTTCTTGTTCATGTATAAAACGTTGTTTTTTTAATGTCTTTGCACACATTCCAATTCTGAATAGCAACGCTGTACATTTGTATTTCGGAAGAAAATAAAATAAATTGTATACCTGATAACAGAGCAGTTCAATTTTACACGGTCTGAAATAAGTAAACACCCGAAAAAAAAGATTCGGAAGACCCGACTTTCCTGACTCGTTATTTTACGCATGCAAAATGACCGACATTTCCTTTCCGCCAAAGGGTTTTGCTGGATCAAAGCCGGGGGGGTACAGGACGTGAGGGGGGTCTTTCCTGCTGTACCCGTGCGGAGAGCCGCGCCGGAGCCGCTCTCACGTGCTTAGCGCGCAGCAAAGGAGCTCTGCTCTCCTCTACCTGGACGTTCAGTTCTCTGAGTCCTGCGAGTTTAACTGAATCCAGGTGTTAATCCTTTTTATAGGCCAATCCCCACAACCATAACCAGCCAATCCGATTAAAATGGTCCCCATCAAACTCCGTTCTTAATTTGTTCTGGCGGATTGCACCGAGCAGCGGAATATCGGCTTTTTAGCTTCCCCGGATCTGCGCACCTACAGTACTCGCGGGCACTGCCCGGCGGGTGCACGCCAGCTTGCTGGGTCTGTATCACGCAAGCCCGAGAGATACTGGCCTGCGTAACTTCCACGAACACCACGCGTGCAAGTTAAATTAAAGCGTTACAACCCATCGCGCCCCCTTTGGAACGTGGAATTTCGCTCAACATGGCGCAGAAGAGTATTATATTGCCTTTGCAAAAATCCAAAGAACAAGAAGATTTTTTTGTCCTATCTAATTGTTTCATACATGCCTTACAAAATGACCTATCTCTTGTTTTTAACATACAGACGGGCTAAAGGAACTGAATCCTTTTAGTTGTGGGCACTGTGACTGTGGTAAAAGTACGGCACAAACTGTCATAAGTGCAAACTAATTAATTTTACGCAGGATGTGTTTGAATCGGTTTAGGTCTAGCAATCACTATTTTTATGCCCACCTTCCCCTACGTGGTTTTGGCATCAACTAGTGTTTGTCTTAAAACACCATTTAGTGTGGATGTGTAAAAAAAAAAACGAGCAATCGTTTCGATCTGCAGTAAAACCGAACACGCAGCCACGATTTGATCTGAATTTAACACATCGCTGACACGTTGAAGTCAAAACGGGCTTTCAAAATTTCGCAAACAATAAAGAATAAAATGGCAGCGTGATCAGATTTTGGAAAAGGAAGAAAGCCGACACAAGATTTACATCTGCAGAAATGGATGACAATCCGGCAGAGGTACAGTCAGTAAAAGGCCTTGTGCACAAGGGCATCCGCCGGCAGGGGCTGATTACAAACCCACCGGCCTCCGCCGCTAAGAGCAGGATAACTGGAAGACGTCGGATGATCCCAGTTAATGAGCTAGGACCTGCTGATTCCGCGTTATCTTCGGAAGAAACACCCCAGTTTCCAATATAAGCCTGTTCATTTCTACAAAGAGAGTGGAGCCAGCAAAAAAAAAAAAAAAACAGTTTCAGGTAGGGGATGCTGATGCAGGAGTATTAGTGGCACCTTGTGAAGGCAGTCTAGGAATAGTCAGATTGGAAGTGCATTGCACTAGGGGAGACTGTCCTACCTGCAAACTGCTACTACCCCAACTGTTACAAGCAGCATAAAAAACACTTAACTCTTCTGTCTGCAACAAATCCACAGAGTTAGTAAAGGAAGTGACGTTCCTTCCTGTAGGGGGTGCACTGATGAGTCTGACGTCTGCCTGATGAGTAGGGCATCACTATCACATGTGCATCTTGCAAGAACAATCCACTGTCGTGTGTCCCAGGACTTTTCAGTGCAACAGGGTGCCATCAGTCTATACAGGTGAAGTTCTCCAGCAACTAGAAAACTCCACTACACACTTGGATACCCCCTTGACTGGTCACCTGGACACAAAGGTTTCTGTAGCTTCTCATTCTGCACACAGCAGTGTCTGTCTGAGCGGCCCACATCAAACCTCGATTCAGCCCCAGTCCCATTCCCATTAGCCATATCACCCTCCAACTCACAGCTGGCAGCCCCACTGAAGCTC